ACTTCACTTTAAATACAACCTTCCTCGTTATTCCCTTGCCCTATCACCTAGGCTACCAACATAGACTCCACTGGTCTGTCTCCCTCCTATCCCAATCAAATCTATTCTTTATATCACATCAAAAATAATTTTTACCAAGGCAAAAGTAAGAGCCACAACATTCTCTTACTTTAAAACTTGCAATGTATTACATCTCTCTACTAAGCAAAGTATAAATTCTTCCCTCTTGATGTCTGTATGCCCATTTGGGATGTCTCCAACCTCCTGTGTTCTTAAATTCAACAACTCTTCTACATGTTCTGTTCAACTTGGGCGATAACTGTACCTACATATTCCCCAATCTTTTCTTTTCTTTTCTCTTTTTACTAGTCCCAGGGCTTGAACTCAGGGCCTGGGCACTTCCCTGAGCTGCACTCTACCACTTGAGCTACAGCACCACTTCCGACCTTGTCTTTTTTTTTTTTTTTTTTTGTTCGGTCATGGGGCCTGAACTCTGGGCCTGGGCACTGTCCCTCAGCTCTTCAGCTCAAGGCGAGCGCTCTACCACTTGAGCTACAGCGCCACTTCCGGTTTTCTGGTGGTTTATTGGAGATAGGAGTCTCACGGTCTTTCCTGCCCGGGCTGGCTTTGAACCGCCATCCTCAGATCTCAGCCTCCTGAGTAGCTAGGATTACAGGCGTGAGCCACCAGCGCCCGGCTTCCAACCTTTTCTGTTTATGTGGTACTGAGGAATCGAACCCATGCATGCTAGGCAAGCACTCTACCACTAAGCTACATCCCCAGCCACATACCCCAATCTTTAAGCTTTATTAATGCTATCCTGTTTTAGTAGAAATGTTGTCCCTTTTTACAACCTACAACCAACCAAAATATCACCCTTCACTCAAGGTCTAACTCAAATGCCACAAGTGGACCACTCCCCCAGTTCCTCCTATCACCTCATAACTCACCACAAAAGCTTGTTTTATCTTTTATGCCAATCATCTCACTACATTTGTACCTAGCATTGGCCTATTTACCCTACTGTCCCCCCCACAAGGTGGTACATAGTTTAAGAATAAGGACTCCATTCCTAGTTCATCTGTCAGTGTCAATAACAAGCACGTTAAACGAAGAAATGTAAGATACGGCTGATGTGCCTTGTTAAATGTTAGTGTTATGCTCACCTTTGGTCCTCAGCTCCACCCACACCTGGGCCCCGTGGACCCCTCCCATTCCTGGAGTTCCCACCATACAGCAGGTCCTTCCTTCTCTCCACCCAGACCCACCTGAAATCCCACCTACCTCACTTCCTATCCCCCAGACCTCCTGCTATCTGGATGGGGACGGAGGCCACGGGCTCCCTCTTGGGGGAAATATGGCTCTTCTAATAAACCTTGTAATAATCTTTCTCCTGTGCCTGCCTGCCTCTGGGTGGTCCCCTGAGATGGATGTGTGGGATCCTCCTTCAAAATCACTGTAACCCCATGAGCTGGCATGAATTATATGAGAATAAACACACACAGCATCTTAAGATCAGTGCCTCAAAGACTCCCATAAACCCCGCTCCCGGTCCCTGCATTCACACCCACGATGCGGGTCTCCCTGAAGCTGCCCATGCGTCCCGCAGCCTCCTGCACGGCTTGTTCGTTCTGCTGCGCCAAGTGAAGCAGAGTGTCTTCGATGGTTTCCGTGGCAACCGCTCCAAACTGGAAGTCACTGACCGAACCCGGTCTCGGCCTCAAAAGCCGGTCCATATTCAGAAGCCTTTTGGCACACAGCGAGAGTTCACTGGACCCATAAACCGGCCATTTTAGCTTCACTCCAGAGTCCTCCGCCAACACTCGCGTTCCTCGTCATCCACTAACGTGTCTATTCTCGTTTCAAGTCTGACAAAAACCCGGTGCCCACCACAGCCTCGAGTTCCCCAGCTTTTCTCGCTCCAACGGCCTGCGGGACCCCTCAGCCAATGAGAAAGCAAGCTGCTTCCCGCTTTTCCAACTCTTCCGCTAGGGCTGAAAGCTCAGGCTCTAGCCCAGCACTACAACTCCCAGAACCCCTCGCGTTAACCAAGGACTACGATTCCCATCGACTCCCGCGCCAAGAGACTGCGAAGGGCGGTGCAGCAACATGGCGGCGCCGGGAGCTGGTGAGCCCCTGGATGCGAAAAATGAAAAGGCCCCATTCGCTCAACGCATCGACCTGACGCGGGAGAAATTGACTCCAGCACAGCTGCATTTCATGCGGCAGGTGCAACTTGCCCAGTGGCAGAAGACGCTGTCACAGAGGCGGACCCGAAACATCGTGACCGGGCTTGGCATCGGGGCCCTGGTATTGGCTATTTGTATCCGTGCTGGTTGTACTGCATGTGGAAATGGGGCAGAGGTACATAAGTGTGTAGGAGAGTTGAGCCAGAAGTTTAATAGTTTAATGTAGGATTAACTGGGATCAATACCCACCTCTCTCTCTCTCCCTCTCTCTCCCTCCCCCCTCTCTCCCCCTCTCCCTCCCCCTCCCTCTCCTTCTTCCTCTCTTCCCTTCCCCCTCTCCCTCCCTCCTCTTTTGCAAGTCCTGGGGCTCGAACTCAGAGCCTGGGCGCTGTCCCTGAGCTGCTTTTGCTCAAGGCTTGCGCTCTACCACTTGAACCACAGCACCACTTCCAGCTTTTTCTGTGTATGTGGTACTGAGGAATCAAACCCAGAGCCTCATGCATGGAAGGCAAGCACTCTACCACTTAGCCACCTTCCCAGTCACTAGCCCCCCCCACCCCCATCTCTTAAGACTAACATTCTACCAGTTAGAGCCACAGCTCCACTTCCATTTTTCTGGTGGTTAGAGATAAGAGTCTGCCTGGGCTGGCTTTGAACCCCAATCCTCAGACCTCAACCTCCTGAGTAGCTAGGATTATGTTATGAGCCACCAGCAGCTAGCCTTTCTTTCTTTCTTTCTTTCTTTCTTTCTTTCTTTCTTTCTTTCTTTCTTTCTTTCTTGTCGGTCATAGGGCTTGAACTCTGGGCCTGGGTACTGGGTACTTCAGCTCAAGGCTAGCACTCTACCACTTGAGCCACAGCGCCACTTCTGGTTTTCTCGTGGTTAACTGGAGATAAGACTCTCAAGGACTTTCCTTGCCTAGGCTGGCTTTGAACTATGATCCTCAGATCTCAGCCTCCTGAGTGGCTAGGATTACAGGCATGAGCCTCCAGCACCCAACTGGCTAACCTTATTTCTAAGGTGTGCTCTTTTAATATGATTTAGTAGTAATAACGGAGTTGAGGTCAGGATTCAAAAAGAGCAGAGGTCAGGACTCCCGAATCACTGTGGGGAGAATAACAAGTGGTATAGGCAAAGAGAATGTTCCTATTTGCAAGCAATTTCCTCAACGCATTTCTCCAGATGGTTACACCTTCTACTCAGTATCCCAGGAGCATTTCCTAGATGAACTGGAAGATGAAGCTAAAGCTGCCCGAGCCCGAGCTCTTGCAAGGGCATCCGGACCTTGAAATGGGTGATTATTACATATCTTCAACCAACTGGAGCCCCTCACATGGTGGATGGTGCCCTATGACCCTGTAGAAATTGGTTGGTTGCTCACATCATCTTTGGCCCAGTTACTAACTTTGGAGCATGATCGAGCCCAAGAAGCTAGAGACTGTGCAATGTTGGCCACTATCAACAGAACATTTCGCATTTCACATGCATTGTACTGTCAGAGTCCTCTCCTTTGTTTCTTGTTTGAGATGTATGCAGCCTTGGCTTTTCTGTAACTTTCTGCCTTTGTGATTTACTCCTTTCCTCCCAGGGGCCCAACTGTAATGGGAGTGGGTGTGGCAATTTTTGGGCAGTGTTGGAGTGTAAAGTGGGAAAGACAGGGTCAAGTTAAGAATAATAAACTGAGTCATATCTCCTGAAGCCAAGCTAATGTGTGGGGGTGGAGAGAGACACATGGCACTTCATGCTGGAAAGCTCCACGGGCAGTAGCTACAGTTGTGGCCTTGCCCCAGGTAGCTGTAAATGTTTAACTAGAATTACTTTTTCCGTGAGATCTTTCCACCTGATTTGAGAGAGAGAATACTGGGCTGTTTGAGACTGAACTAGGGGAAGGAAGGTCACTCTTCTGCCCTCTATCCTCAAGAACACACTCTAAGGCTAACTTCAGTGCCTTTTCCCATCTCTAGGTAGGGGGATGAAGACTGAGATGAATAATTTTCATTCTTTTAACTTTCACTGGTGCTTGCCTATACAGACCTAGGGTTGAGTCTGGAGGGTATCTTAGCCTGGCCAAGTGGATCATTGGCCTTACAGTTTCCTCATGACTTGGTGGCAGGAAGCCAGCAGGCTGGGCAGATTCCACCTTGTCTGCCATTGTGGAAGGAGTCCTTTCTAAGTCTTTCCCTGCTTCACACCCACAAGTCTTTGCTCCCAGTTCCTAAGGCATGACTTAATAGACTCACATCCTTATTTCCAGTAATTTTTTTTATTGTCTGTTGCTAATTCTGATATTGAGTACACCTCCTACTCTCCCAGCTGGGAATGGGCCCTTAAGAAGCATCTAGGCTTGGGTGGGATTGCTTAGTGGTTGACCCTTGGCTGGGGAAGGGATTGCAGGTGAATTCAGTAGGCTGCAGAACAGGCACTTCCAACACAGGAAATGGTTTTTACATGTTTGAGTCTTCGATGTAATACAGCCACACTCTTCATACCCTTTGACCTTCTCCCCCCTCAGTTCTGGGGTCTTCCTTGCTGAATTGAGTTGGTCAGAAAAGCATCAGACTGTGAGAGCACAAGCGCCGTGGTGGGCCCTGGTATGGAGGAGACATATAGCTTCTGTTCTGATTTCACTAGAGGGGGAAAAAAAATGCTAAAGAAATCTCCAAGATGGGAGGAAGGTGAAACCGCTGCCGGTTACCATTCCCTGGGCTCTCCCTCTCTCGGGCCCGCCCTCACCATCCTGCCAATATCCCCGGCGAATGTCACCCCCTTGCTTGCCCGCTGCTCCTGGGAGCCGGTGCTGCTGCCACTCAGAGAATTCCTTCGCATGATGCCTGGGAGCAGGATGGGGAGGGAGAGCACTAAGTGAGGGAAAGGGGCAGACCCCGTAGGGCCTGGAAGAAAACCAAGTCAGTAGATGGAGCTAGGTGTCTGCAGTCTCACCAGGGCCAGGGGGCTCAGAGCGCTGCAGACTGTTGCGGCGGGAGGTGGGGAAGCTGCCCTTGGAGAGGCGGCGCTGACGGCTGGAGAGCATGGCGGCTGGAGCCACGATACCAGGTGGGGGCTGCTTCCCAAGCCGGGTATACAGGTCCTCAATTTCCTTTTTCTGTAGTGTCTGTAGTGCTTCCACTTCTGACAAGTGCCTAGGGGTGCACAAGGACCATGAGAGGGCTGGCCACATACTTTGCTCTCCCAGTTTCACCTCTCACTCTGCCATCTACCCCAGACTCACTTTTGCCGAAGATTCTGCAGCTCAGCCCAGAATTCTTCATCCTCTCCACTGCTCTCTGACTCCTCACTGCTCAGACACAGGCTGCTATAGGAGTAGTTCATCCACACTGGGCTGGGATGGCTCAGGGGTGGGGAGCTGCACCCAGCTCCAGGGTCCTTCCCATAGTCACCATTCTCATCCACTCCATCTCCCAGGCCCTCAGCGGCACGGTCACTCTCAGCCAGAGCCTCCCTGGTCTCTGGCCTGCCTCCAGTGCTATCTTCTGTGTCTGAGCTCTCTGAGGTCTCTGAGGTCAGGTGAGGGGTTGGAAGTTTTATAGAACTGGAGAAAGTTGGGGATGGTGGTTGAAGGAGAAGAGACTCAGCTGGTTCCTTGGATGAAGTCACTTGGAAACGCCCAACAAGTTGGGGCTTTCCCTCTGTAGGGAGACAAGGAAGGGAGGCATGGAGGATGGGAGAAATCTGGAAAGATAGAAAGCAGGTTGGGGGTAATAGCCAGGAGTTGGTCACTGATCAGAGGCCTCACCTTCAGAGATGGGCGCTAGTCTTCCTTCACTCATGAGTGGCTGAACAGGATTTGGGGAAGCCTACAAGATACGGATTCATGAGATGGGAAATAATCCAAAATGGAGCCACTGAGTCCCCCTCCCTCTACATCAAGTCAAGAGGACTTGATTTCCTACTCACCTCATTCTCCATCTCAGCTGTTTGGGGTAAAAGGCTCTCCTGACCACAAGGAGCAAAAGGAGGGGGAGAGGGAAGGGGCAGGCTAGGCAGAGGACCAGGAACAGATGGGGGAGCCTGGGAAAGAAGTCCAGGGGAGGGGGCCAGCAGAGACTGGGCCACAGTCATCACAGCCAGAGAGAAGGCACTAGCCAGGGAGAGGAGAGGGGCTGCTGTGGTGGAGGGAAGTGGTGGAGGAGAGGGACAGAGAGGAAAAGAAGGACTAAGAGTGACCTGAGAACTACCCGGAGAGAATGGAGGTGGAGAACTGGTGGAGAGAGAATTCAGGGGATATGGAGAGGATGGATATGGAAACTCAGATGCATTGGGAGAGAATGGAGGTGGAGAGCTGGGGAGGTGTGGTGAGGGACTGGAGGGGATCTGGGAAAATAGGGAGGGGCTAGAATGACAAGGCGGAGAAGTGATAGGAAACATAGGGACTGGGAAGATGGGGCCTCCAGGGGAAAATGGGTTTCCAGGAGACACAGGAGTTCCAGGAGAAGATAGGGAGGTGGAGAAGGCTGCCCAGCTCTGTTCCAGGGAGGTACTGCTCTGGAGCTCTGCTATGGAGGAAAGAGTATTGAGATTCCAGTCCTCCATACCTTGTACCCTTCCCAGTAACCCAGCAGGGTTAGAACTCAGTACATACCACTGGATGGGTCAGGGAGGGATCCTGGGAGGGCAGGCAGTGATGCTGACTCCTGAGGGAAAAAAAGGGACCCCCTCAGTCATAGAGGGAAAAACTGAGTCTTAGATGGAAAGTTTCAAGCTGGGATTCTTCAGCTAGGACCTGAGTCTTTAGGACTCCAGACATGAGGTTAAGGAACTCAAGTATATATGCTGAAATATTTAGGAGTGAAAGGAGCATATGATCTACTAATTTGCTCTCAAGTGATCTAGAAGGGTAACTTGAATACATACACACCGAGAGAAGAGAGGAAGAGTGGTAAAGCTAGTCAGAAAACACCGTTGGCAAATCTGGGCAAAGGGTATTCAGAAGTTCTCTCTATGATTGCAACTTTTCTCTGCAAGTCTGAAACTATTTCAAAATAAGTAGCTGAAAGTATGCATTCAACACATTTTTCTAGACCAAAGTGGGTAATAGCCACTGTTTTACAGTTCCAGAGATGAAAAGAAACAATCCAACTCTAAGAACTGTTGAGGGCAACTGTTTCTCCTGGAGATGTCCAGAGGCCTGACCTGGGGGGTTAGTGCATCTTCAGCAACCTCGGTGGCACCAGTGTCTCTCTTCAACAGGGTTTCCACTCGCTGGATAATCTCCCGGATCCGGCTCAGGAATCCATCTCGCTCAGAAGGCAAAATGAACTCATTATATACCTGGCAAGGATCAACAGAATGGGGAGGAGTCTTGGTTATTTCACTCATCTCTACCATCTGCTCCTGCTCTAAAAGCAGCCATTCAAGCTAGGTGTGGTAGTGTACACCTGTAATCTCCAGCACTAAGGAAATAGGAGGATTTCGAGTTTGAGGCCAGCCTGGGCTATATGGTGAGTTCCAAAGGTTAGGGATGTAGTTCAGTGGTAAGAGCCCTTGCTTAACCTGAAGCACATCCCAACACCACAAACAAAGAATCAAAGCTGAGTGTCAGTGGCTCCTACTTGTTCATGAATACTAGCTACTCAGAAAGCTGAGATCTGACTATTGCAGTTCAAACACAGCCAAGGCAGGAAAATGTGTGACTCTTATCTCCCATTAACCACCAAAAAAGCAAGAATTGGAGCTGTGGCTCAAGTGGTAGAACACTAACCTTGAGCAAAAAAAGTTAAGGAATAGTGCCCAGGCCTGAGTTTAAGCCCCAAGACCAACACACACAGACACACACACACATTTACACAAAAAAATTCATATCACTACTTCTGCCAACTACCAACCTAAAACAGGAATTGACTTAAGTATCTGTTGTGGACAGTGTGCTGTGCAGTTCTTAGCAGGAAAGGAACTAACATTCCTACAATGTATCTACACATCAATGCTTTAAGTATCATCTTTTTTTTTTTTTCCTGGTCTTGGGGCCTGAACTCTGGGCCTGGGTGCTATCCCTCAGCTATTCAGCTCAACGCTAGCGCTCTATCACTTGAGTCACAGCGCCACTTGCAGCTTTTTCTGCTTATGTGGTGCTGAGGAATCCAACCCAGGGCCTCGTGCATGCAAGACAAGCGCTCTACCACTGAGCCACCTTCCCAGCCCCTTAAGTATCATCTTTTAACACCAACAACTTCCTGGTATCTATATGAACACCCTCATTTTATTTTATTTTATTTTATTTTTGGTCCAGTTGTGGGACCTGAACTCTGGGCCTGGGCGCTGTCAGCTCTTCAGCTCAAGGCTAGCGTTCTACCACTTGAGCCACAGCGCCACTTCTGTCTTTTTTCTTTTTTGCTTATGTGGTGCTGAGGAATCAAACCCAGGGCCTCATGCATGCAAGGCAAGCACTCTACCACTGAGCCACCTTCCCAGCCCCAACACCCTCATTTTAAAGATAACCAAGGCTCAAAAAAGTTAATTTCAGGGTGCCCAAGATCACAGGATTTGAATTCAAGCCTACAAAAAGCCAGAGCCTGAGTTCTTTCTACAGGTGCTT